CAGGTCATTTGTAAGTGAAATCCAGCCAGGAGAGGGCTCAGCACGCCCACCTGTGGCTTGGCTGGCTTGGGTATGGCCCTGCCACATGGGGTTACCTGACACTCACGTATTTCAGGATCTTCTTCACCCGGGACATGCAGAGGATGGTCACCCAGATGGACACCACAGAGCCCAGGAAGTCACAGTACTGCAGCGTGTCGTAGTCCATGATGCACATCACTGCCACACCAGGCTGGTCACACGCGTGGTAGAACTGCAGCCGGGGACAAGAGCAAAGGCTGGGCATGAGCAAGGCAGCAGCACACAGCTTTCTGGGAAGGATAGGCAGAAGAAGGCTCAACCCAACCCGTGGTGACCACAATCTGTCCTGGCAGTGCTTCCAGGAAGCTCCACCAAACCCTCGTGGCATTACAGAAAGCAGAGGAGAGCAGCCATCAGCCTGCACCCCCAGCAGCAGCTCCTGGGATACCAGCCTTCCAGTCTGCAGTGCTCCCAGCCCACCTCAGCTCCCAGGGGTCACATCCCCAAACATGAGCACCTGCACTGTGAGTGGAAGAGCCCAGTGGAAGCAACACCCTGCCAAGCTCTGAAGGGGCAGGACATGTCCAGGGAGGTGTTTGTCCAATGATCCTTGTGGACCTCCAGGATGGACTGCTCCACCAAGGACCTCAAGTCTGATGCAGCATCCCTGACGCTCAGGGGGAGCTGGCAGGGGACCCAACAAAAGGCAATCCCTACCGTGGAGAAGAACATGGTGTAGGTGTAGACAGAGGCCTCCACCAGGTAGTAGCGATAGACAGCAACCGCTATGGCCGGCAGGAACATCAGGTTGCTGAGGGTGAGCAGGAGGGTGGCCAGGTTCTGTGCTCCCACTGACTGGGCCTTGGTATCGTCCGTGCAGCTCCATCACTGCCACACCAGGCTGGTCACACGCGTGGTAGAACTGCAGCCGGGGACAAGAGCAAAGGCTGGGCATGAGCAAGGCAGCAGCACACAGCTTTCTGGGAAGGATAGGCAGAAGAAGGCTCAACCCAACCCGTGGTGACCACAATCTGTCCTGGCAGTGCTTCCAGGAAGCTCCACCAAACCCTCGTGGCATTACAGAAAGCAGAGGAGAGCAGCCATCAGCCTGCACGCCCAGCAGCAGCTCCTGGGATACCAGCCTTCCAGTCTGCAGTGCTCCCAGCCCACCTCAGCTCCCAGGGGTCACACCCCCAAACATGAGCACCTGCACTGTGAGTGGAAGAGCCCAGTGGAAGCAACACCCTGCCAAGCTCTGAAGGGGCAGGACATGTCCAGGGAGGTGTTTGTCCAATGATCCTTGTGGACCTCCAGGATGGACTGCTCCACCAAGGACCCCAAGTCTGATGCAGCATCCCTGACGCTCAGGGGGAGCTGGCAGGGGACCCAACAAAAGGCAATCCCTACCGTGGAGAAGAACATGGTGTAGGTGTAGACAGAGGCCTCCACCAGGTAGTAGCGATAGACAGCAACCGCTATGGCCGGCAGGAACATCAGGTTGCTGAGGGTGAGCAGGAGGGTGGCCAGGTTCTGTGCTCCCACTGACTGGGCCTTGGTATCGTCCGTGCAGCTCCACCCGCCCCAACCTGCAGAGCAGAGAGGCTTGTGTGGACCTTGCATGCCCTGCCTTGTCTTCCCATGGCACACAGCAGGAGCCTGGACTTCCCAGAAGCCGTGGCAGCCCAGGAATAGCTCCCAGCCTCCTCTCCCTTCCTCCATCAGCCACTCACACTCCTGTTCTCAGGCTGGTACTTTCCATCCCCATGGTAACTCCACCCAAGTGCTACTTGCAGGTTTCCATTCTGCCTTTGAGGCTTAGATGCTTCAGATGATGGTGTAAGATCCCTACAGATCCCAGGAACCAGACTGGAGAAGGATCCACCACATTGAGGAAGCCAATGGGCTCCTGTCACAGCAGGGCAAACTGCAGAGCCAGCTCAGGGTGCTCTGAGCCTTGCCCAGCTGAGTTTTGAAGATCTCCAAGGATGGAGACCTGGATACTGTGCAAAGCTGAACAACTCTGATAGGGGGAAACTTGTCTGCTTGGATTCATCTGAGGTTTCCTTCCTGCTGTGTCTGGGGCCTCTTGCCCTTTCCCTGTGCTCTCCCAGAAGAGCCTGGCTCTAGAGTCCTTGTCAGCCCCGTGGGCAGTGGAAGGTGGGATTCAATCCCCCTCAAACACCTCTTCTCCAGGGCGACCAAACCTGCTGCCTCAGCCCAGGACAACATCCAGGTCTGCCCAGTCTGAAAACTTCCCAGGGGACAGTGGGTGCTTGAGACTTGAAACCAGGTGCAACTCTCAGTCTGCTGATGGGACACCAAAGACTGCACAGAGAGTCTTCTACAAACACAAACCTGCCCTGTTTTTTGTTTTGTTTTGGGTTTTTTTTGCAATTTCATTATTTTAATTCAAGGTCAACATGCCCGTGCCCTTCTTTTGGGGAAAGGACATCAGGCACAGGGCACCCCGTGGCGAACAAGCAGAGTTAAAAGTCACATCTGTCCCATCAAAGTGCCCCTAGAGCCCAAGCCAGCAGCTCAGCCCCCTCGCTGGCTCCTGCCAGGCAGAGCTCAAGGAAGCTGCTTCCTCTGGTTTATTTCTGGGCCACAAACATGCAGAAGAGGTATTTTGCTCCGAGTGGTTTGGCAGAAAGCTGTCCTCAGCCTCCTTCCCTAGCTCCCCTGGGGTGCTCAGTGCTTCCCAGAACCTGGCACCCCTCGGGCAAATTGGGCTGCTGCTCTCTCCAGCTCACCCCTCACCCCCCTGCAGCAGGGGATGTCCTGGCTCAGGACCAAAGCAGCAGGGAACCACATTTTGCCTTCTCCTTCTTGCTGAGAACAGGCACG